TCCTCAAACTCATGAACCTCCTGCCTCACTGGACTGTGAGACAAGCTACTGATTATTATTATTTTAATAAAAGGAAGTGAAGGTAAGTCTCAGGGCTAGTGATGCCCAGATGCCATCCGGATCTGGGAATTATTGAGCCAATACTCTCTCCTTAGGAAAGGGATCTTCTGTAACTCACTTAGGACAGTCACTCACAGCTGGCCTTTCCACAGCATAGATGTCGTCTAGACAGACCAGGTTGTGGAAGAGACCAGGACAGTTTGGATCCCAGAGATTCCCCTTGCCGTCCCCCACCCCTGCTGTGTGCAGCCTCCACCCCAGACCTGCCTGGTATTTTTAGCTCGCAGGCACCCGCACAGCCCTGTGCACTGACCAAATTTAGAAATCTGAGCAGTCAGGCACGATGAATGAACAGACTCCAGTGTGTGAGCTGCAGCTGGTGGGACTCTGCTGACGGCAGGGAAGTCTGGAGAGTCAGGACACCATCACCCCTGTGGCCCTGTCAGCCTCGGGAACAGCAACGCTAACCCCTCATTCCCATGTGCCACACACAGCCCGGCAGGGGTAGAGATGTGGGAGGTGACTTGCAGGGCAGTGTGTGGAACATGGTGGGAAATGGTGACGGTCAAGCCACATGCCACATTTTGTGTTTGCTTATCCAAGTTAGCATGTTTCATCTGAAATTAGAAAACTCAAGACTGAAAAGGTTTAAATATTCCGTGCCCCCACCCCTTGCTTAAGATAAATTGTCTACTGACGAAATGGTTCTTTTCCCTCCCTCTTTAACCTCCGCGTGGTCTATAGTCACAGCCAGGCCGTTTACTTTTGTTCCCAGATGACACAGTTCTCAGTGGAGGGGATTTCCAACAGGGGTGAGGGTCAAGGTTCAAGGATCTCCAGGGAAGGCCTAGGCTCTCCCATTGTTTACTGTCTCAGTCATTATGTCATCACTGGTGTTGGGGCTGACTCCACGCATAGCATATGCCAAGCTAAGCAGCCACACTCTCTACCACTGAGCTATCCACACCCCAGCCCTATTTTACTGTTTTTCATTGTTCAGGCCTTAGAATATAATTATAGCCATTGTCTGAAAAGTCTGTTAATCACTTTTGGATTGCTTTGTACACTTACAACCATTAACAAGAAATGACATCGTGGCCGGCCACCCTCTAAGAGCTCATTTAGGTCCCCCTAAGAGAACCATTTTTTAACGTTTTGTTGTTTTATATTTATTTTATTTTTATTTTTTTTAAGATTTATTTATTATGTATACAGTATTCTGCCTGCATGTATGCCTGCAGGCCAGAAGAGGGCACCAGATCCCATTACAGATGGTTGTGAGCCACCAAGCGGTTGCTGGGAATTGAACTCAGGACCTCTGGAAGAGCAGTCAGTGCTCTTAACCTCTGAGCCATCTCTCCAGCCCCTAGATTTATTTTTATTTTATGTATTTGTTTTGCCTGCCTGTATGTCTGTGCATCACGTGTGTGCCTGATGCCTGTGGAGGTCACAGGAGGGAATCAGATCCCCTGGAACTGGAGTTACAGACAGCTGTGAGCTGCCATGTGGGTGCTGGAATTGAACCTGGGTCCTCTGGCAGAGCAGCCAGTATTTGTAGCCATGGAGCTATCTCTGCAGCCCCGAGACAGCTATTTCACTAGAGCTGTCTATACGATGTCTCTTGACCTGCTCTTGGCCACGGTAGATTTGTCTGCTTCTGCACTGGGCAGAAGCAGAGGCAAGCCCTTTTTTTTTTTTGACAGTGTCTCCAGTGTCTCTCTGTGTGGCCCTGGCTGTACTGGAACTCACTCTACAGACCAGGCTGGCCTTGAACTCACAGAGATGCGCCTGCCTCTGCCTCTGGTGTGCTGGGATTAAAGGCGTGTGCCACTGAGTCGGGCCACATCTTTTGAAACTCCAGGTTGTGAGGGTTTCAAAGAGGATTGGAGGTGACCAAGTTTCTAATGACAGCCACACCTTGGATGGGCACCTTCTGCAAGTGTCTTTCACCAGGCCTGCAGCTACAAATCAACACCCGTGAAAGGCTGGTGAGAGGGAGTGAGAGCCAAGTTGACTCCCACGTTTCAAGTCGTTCCTCAGGATATTTAAGTAGCAGTCATGGTGGCCTTCAGACACAACACAGGGCTGCTCTGATAGGAGCTGCCCCTGAGGACTGTCAAGGGCATCAGAAGAGCCGGATGATTACCCTGGAGACAAGATCTAGGGCTGAACCCATCCTAGCCATCACGGTATGGATGCCCACAGCGTTGCCTGTCATTGATGGGGCTCGGATTCCAGGCACAGAGGTTGTCCTCATGTGACCATGCTTCCCCTAGTCTCAGGTTGTTGGTTTTTGTTTGTTTGTTTGTTTTTTTCATGTTTTTTTATTGGAGAGAGCCACCGTCAACTCAAGCTGCAATTTAGGTGCTGTCTCCTGGCGAAGCAGGCATTAAGGGAGCCAGAGGTGTCCCAGCCGTTCCTGCCCTATCTTCAAGTCTACAAACCATCTTAAGCGCAGCAGCCACTCCCAGGCAATTCCTCTAACAAGCACCTTCACCGGCAGCTAATCCAAACATCCTAACTAAGCAGCCACATCCCCGTTTCTCTTTTGCCTTCTCTTTGGGTACTGCACAAAGTAAGCTGCCAGACTTAGGACTGTGTGGGCTTACAGAAAAGCCTTGAAGCGCCTGTATCTATGCTCGAGAAGGAGACGCCTGCCCTCTAGTGGGCACTGTGGGCATTGCTGCTATCTTAGAGCCCAGTGGGCCGGAATCCTCCGCACTCCAGAGGGACCTGTGTGGCTGTGCGACCTCCAGATGTCTGGTGGGATTCGGAACGGAGCAGAGCCAACGCCAGCCACCAAGTTGAACTTTGCTACATGATAAAAGTCTCTTTATGAGGAGATTTTGACATGTCTTTGGAAACCTACTAGGTTGTTTTTATTTTATTTTAATTTATTTGGGACAGGGTGTCCTCAAGCAGTTCAAGTTGGCCTCACACTCACTGTGTGGATGAGGATGTCCTTGGACTTCTTGTCTACACCATGCTGGGATTACACGCCCTCACCACTGCACCCAGTTTATTCCCTGCTGGGGACCACAATCAGGGCTTCATGCTGGACAAGTACTCAGTCCCACCCTGGCACCCATAGGCCAGCATCTTAAGAACATGTTCCCTGTCTTGCATGTTTTTTTTTTTTTTTCTTCTTTTGGAGACAGGGTTTCACTGTGGCTTTGGAGGCTGTCCTGGAACTAGCTCTGTAGACCAGGCTGGTCTTGACCTCACAGAGCCCCACCTGCCTCTGCTTCCCGAGTGCTGGGATTAAAGGCGTGTGCCACCAACGCCTGGCTGTCTTGCATGTTTTAAAAAAAAGGTTTATTTTCATTATATGGGAGAGTGTTTTGCCTGCACATATGTCTGTGTACCATGTGTGTGCAATGTCCTTGTAGGCCGGAAGAGGGTGTGAGATCCCTTGACCCTAACCCTAACCCTGACCCTGACCCTAACCCTATCCCCTGACCCTAACCCTAACCCTGAGATCCCCTGACCCTAACCCTAACCCTAACCTAACCCTGACCCTGACCCTGACCCTAACCCTAACCCTGGTTACTGGGAGCCAAGGCTCCCATGCTTGTGAAGCAAACATTTTACCTACTGAGCCGTTGTTCCTGCCCCCGTCACTCGAGAAGACATTAAATTTTCTAAGAGAGAGAGAGAGAGAGAGAGAGAGAGAGAGAGAGAGAGAGTACCACACCGCCATGTGGAAGTTTAAAGACAACATATCAGAAGTTGGTATTCTTCTACAATGTGAGTCCTGGGGACTGTTCATCAGGCTTGGTGGCAAGTGCCTTTACCCATGGAGTCATCTCTCTGGCCCAACAGGACATTAAAAGCAAAACTAAGCCTTTAACCCCAGTACTCAGGAGGCAGAGGCAGGTGAATCTCTGTCTCAAAAATCAAAAACAAACAAAAAATTTAAGCTGTATGTATGTGTGTAGGGGGGCGAATTTTACATGCAGTGCAGTATGTAAAGAGACCTGAAGAGACCAACATGTATGCTGCCCAATGTGTGCTGGGAAACTAATTCAGGTCCTCTGCAAGACTACTGAACCATCTCTCCAGCCCCCAAGAACATTTGAAAGACCATTACTAGCAGGCTTTCTGGAGGTGTGACCCCAGTTACTTGGGAAACTGAGAATTCAAGGTCTGCCTGGGTTACACAGAGGGTAGCCTGGACAACTTTCTCAAAATAGAAAGTATAAAGATGGCTATGGTGTACCTGGTGGTAGTGCCTTGCCTAGCATTCCTGAGGCCCTGGGCTTAATCTCTAGCATAACAAAAATGAAAAGAAGGCCACCATTCGCATAGAACAAAGACAGTTTTTAAAAATAATTTCATTTTATTGAATTATGCAAAAATCTTTACAACAGTCAAAAGTATGCAAATAGAAAAATCACGTCACGACAGCACACAGCAGGTCACAGAGTTCAAGTCCTGTTGCATGTTACGTAGTCACGCCACAAATTCATTTGAGGCAGGGAGAGAACCCAGTGGCCCAACTGTGGGGGACTACTCCTGGGACCATACCACAAGGGCTTCCCTCACACATGGGATGTTTTGAATAGTTCAACATTTTAAGATTTTGAACTTGGGGCTTATGGGTAATTCAGAGACATGGCAGTGTGGAGGTCCACAGCCTAAGGCACTAGGCAAAGTTAGGTACTGGCTCTGCAGACACATCCTGGCTAATCTCAGCTGCACAGAGTGAGGGCTGGAAAAAGACTTTCTCCCTAACCAATGAGAGTTTTTACAAGTTCAAATTCTTCACAAATACACATTTCATTATCAGATTCCTTCTCAAGCCAATCACTTAAAAGTGTAAATAAAATACTTTTAACAAAGCAAAAGAATCAGAAAAAAGATACTAAGAAATTCTATAGATACATGTTTTTGTTTTGTTTTGTTTTGTTTTGTTTTGTTTTGTTTTGAGAGAGAGAATCTCATGTAGGCCAGGCTGGCCTGCAGTTTGAGATGTAGCTGAGAATGACTTTGAACTCCCCACACTCTGGCCTCTACCTTCTGAGTGCCTGGAAGACAGGTGTGCTTCGTCACACCTGGCTAAGAATTAAAATGATGCTATTAACAATGCCAGGGCAATTTCATAGCTGGCAAAGAATGCAACTAAAGGAGAATACAAGCCAGGCATGGTGGCAAAGGCCAGTCATTCCGGCCACTTGGAAGACTGAGGCAGGAGGACAGACAGTTTGAAGTATTGCTGGGCTACTGAATGAGTTCTAGTATAGCCAGGGCAACTTAATATAAAAGAAAAAAGTGGGGTGGGGGCTGGGAGGTGCCTTGCTGGGGGAGTACTAGCCTAGCTTGTACCAGGCCCTGGGTTCGACCCACAGGCCTACAAAAGCAGGGGGCCAAAAATCTAAAGGGGAGGCTTGCTCTGTGCTAAAGTAAGATCTATTATATATATATTATATTTTTCTCTTCAAATGGGCTGCTTATTGCTTTCTGCTATTCCATCTTTTTATAGCATTAAGGTCTTTGGATTGAATTCAGAATTCATTAAAAGCATCTTGGTAGCTTTAAACATAGAAAGAAAATTCATTGGTGTAAAAAAAAAAGGTACACAATTCATCCACAGTGTCTGAAAATCATAGTATCAGAAATATTAAGGGTGGACACCACAACTCAAAAGATTCCCTGTCTTAACCGCCGAGGCGCCAACTGGGCTGAACTCCTGTGAAAGTAAGTACTTCCTAAAACCTGTCCTTGGCTCATGGTGGCCACCCTGCCAGTGCTTAGAGAGTGAGCCCACGGGGCTGAGGTGCACCCTCCACTCCAAGCTCTGAGTCTAGTCTGCAGGAAAAAGTTGTAGTGTTTTTTTGTTTTTGTTTTTGTTTTTCTTCAAACATTTCTACATACTACATCAAACTCTGGGGACACGGCTATCACTATGGTGATCTTGTTTCTAACTGGTTTCTTCCCTAGAGGCTGCAGCTCAGAGCAGCCTGTCACTTATCCATCATGTTAAAGAGCATCTCGCAGGTCAGGCCTTCATCCATGTTCTCGCTTCCAGCCGCACTTTCGCCACCACCACCACCACCGCCACCATGGTGGCACAGAGCCAGCTCCCCAGGGCACTGTGCCTCCTTCGAGGTATGGCTCTCCTGGGTAGCGACATCTAGGAGGAAATGGACAGAGTGAGAAAGTGTGAGAGAAAGCCAGGACATCCAGATAGGGAAACCAGAAAGTGCATATTGAAACAATTGCCACAGTGTGAACCCAGCAGCCGGCATGCCAAAAAAAAAAAAAAAAAAAAAAAAAAAAAAAAACCTGATTCTGGAATACCGGCTGTCAGTTTATTTCAGGGCAGGGCCGCTTAACCTGGGGGAGGGACTCCTTAATGGGGACACTGGGGGCACTATAGGAAGCAAGCAGCTTCTCACCTATGACACGCTTGTGGCACACTCCTCTTCAGCTGTGGCAATCAAAAATGTCACTAGAGACGACTGTGGGGACAGCTCAGCAGGTAAGTGCTTGCTGCGTAGCCTGATGCTCTGAGTTTGGGGGTTGAGTGTGGGTGACCTTGCAGAGGTGTGGCCATGACACAGCCACTCTGATACAGTTGCCAAGCCCCCCAGTGACAAGGCTACGACTGCCCTCACCCTCACTGGCTTTCTGGCTGGGGTTAACAAAGGGAAAGCCACTGTCCGATTAAACAAAGTGGCCAGAAAGGACGTACCGTTGTCCCATCCTGGTGTTTCCTCCACGGTCTGCTTCTGCATCACCTGACTTGCTTTTCTGGAGGTGGCCAGCTTCTCATGCTCTGGGTCACACTTCTTCCGGTGTCTCTGCAGGTTACTCTGTGGGAGATGACTCAGTGTCCCCATGTGCAGGGTGCAACCCTCGGTTAAGAGATGGACTTCAACAGATTCGGATATGACTCAACAGGGAGAGGCACTTGTCACTCAGCCCAGGGGCCTGAGTTGGAGCCTGAGGACCCACATGGTGGACGGAGAGAATTGACTCTTGTAAGTTGGGCTCTGAGCTCTCTGTGTGTAGCTGTGGCACACGCTACACCCTCTGACATACCACAAAACACATCAATAGTTACATATATTTTTTAAAAAGTGGGCTCTCCGGGCTGGAGAGATGGCTCAGAGGTTAAGAGTACTGACTGTTCTTCCAGAGGCCCAGGGTTCAATTCCCAGCACTCATATGACAGCTCACAAATGTCCATAACTCCAAGATCTTACAACCTCACACAGCCATATGTGCAGGCAAAACACCAATGCAAATAAAATAAAAATAACAGGAAGACAGCAGGTTATATGTACCTTTTAGATTTGGGCCAAAATAAACAAAACAAAACAAAACAAAATAACCTTAAAAATTGTGTGTGTGTAGAGAAATACTCCCTGAGCCAAGACACAAGGGGGTGGGCCTAGGTCCTATCCCAAAGGATACGATAGACTCTGATGACTCCCTATGGAAGGCCTCACCATCCAGGGGGAGCAGAAAGGATGTGTGATAGGTAGGGTTTCAGTTGGGAGGGGTAGGGGAGGACGGGAGGGAGAAGAGAACTGGGATTGTCATGTAAAACAATCTTGTTTCTAATTCAAATTAAAAAAATTGTGTGTGTGTGTGTGTGTGTGTGTGTGTGTGTGTGTGAGATGTATGTGTGTGTGGTGTGTGGTGTGTGTGGTGTGTATATATGTGTGTGTGTGGTATGTATGTGTGTGTGATGTATATGTATGTGGTGTGTGTGTGTGTGGTGTGTATGTATGTGTGTGTGTATGTGTGTTGATGTATATGTGTGTGTGTGGTGTGTATGTGTGTGTGATGTATATGTGTGTGTGTGTGTGTGTGTGTGTGTGATGTATATGTGTGTGGTGTGTGGTGTGTGTGGTGTGTATATATGTGTGTGTGTGGTATGTATGTGTGTGTGATGTATATGTATGTGGTGTGTGTGTGTGTGGTGTGTATGTATGTGTGTGTGTATGTGTGTTGATGTATATGTGTGTGTGTGGTGTGTATGTGTGTGTGATGTATATGTAGTGGTGTGTGTGTGTGTGGTGTGTATGTGTGTTGATGTATATGTATGTGGTGTGTGTGTGTGTGTGTGGTGTGTATGTGTGTGTGTATATGTGTGTGGTGTGTGTGTGTGTGGTGTGTATGTGTGTTGATGTATATGTATGTGGTGTGTGTGGTGTGTGTGGGGTGGGTGGGTGAAGGTGTCTCTGGGCGTTAGTCCCGGGGAGCTGGAGTTGTGGATGGTTGTGAACCATCTGATGTGGGAGCTGGGAACCAAAGTCAGGTCCTCTACAAGAGTTACTTCACTGTTGAGCTGTCTCTCTGGGTCCCTCAAATGACCTTTTAAAGGTTACCCTCCCTCTTACAATTAGGTCTAGCCAAAACCTAGCTTGTTTTAGTTTTTAAAATAAGAGCTGTCAGAGAGAATTTATCTTTGCATAATACTTCTACCCTGTAAAGTGAGGCCTGACACTAAACCTGAAACTCAATGCACCATCCATTTCTATGCCCACCGCTCTATGCTATGAAAAATAACATGACCAAAAGCAACTTGGGGAGGAAAGGTTGACGCCACCTGGCTGTTTTCCTGAGCTCAGGACACAGACAGCTGAGTTTGCACCACATCAGAGCTCAGAGATGCTGGATGGGCGTGGTGCTCGTGTCTCCCATCTCAGCCGAGGAAGGAAGTGAGGGAAGCCATAGCTAAGACAACCAGATAAAAAGAGCCCATCCTGGCTGGGTGTGCTTGCTAGCCCACTTTGGGTTCTGGTGCACACTTTTTGCAAGAAGAATTGCCTTGCCTGGCTACTTTCAGTTCGTGTGTTCCATCGTATGACACGGAACACAATTTGGGGCTCAACCGGGACTTTAAGTCTACATGACCAAGCACCCTTGGTGGCTGGGCCACCCTCAGGTTGAGTGAGAGAGTGAATGAGACACTCAGCTGATCTAAAGTGGATGTAAAGTCTGGATCCACATGTCACATGTGTCACATGTGTCCCTGGTGGCTTCTGATTGCTAAGAGGACTTAACATAGGGCACTGCCCCACGGGGGAGTCGGCTGAAGATGGATGAAGCCTCCATTACCAGAGGCTGAGATTCAAGAAACCTCTGTATGTGGTGTTGAAACTCTGACAGATTAATTCACGCGGCTCCAGGATAGGAGACAAGAAGGCCAAGTAGGGCTCAAAGGAGGCAGATTCCCCCAGACTGTGGGTAGCCAGCTCTCAATATTCACAGGTCCCTCTGATTCAGTCCACACCAAGGTCACTTTTCTTTCCTGGTTTCTCCAATTGCTCCCAAAATAACAGTGACACCTATGGGCTCTGGGGCACACTTCCTGTTCTCTCCACTTCATCATGGGATTCTTTCTCAGCACTAGCTTGTGTCTAGGAGCTGACAGGAGACCAAACACACATGGACACCATTTCTTGCTGTGTGAACATGGGTTTAACTGTTTTTTTTTTCTTTTGTTTGCTTTAAGGGCTCACATGTCTGGGCCACATACATGTACTGTCTCCTATACCCGTGCTGACCTAACTTGGTGCCTGTCTTAGGGTTTCTATCGCTGTGATAAATAACATGACCAAAAGCAACTTAGGAAGGGAAGGGTTGATTTCAGCCTACAGCTCTCAGTCACACCCCACCACTGAGAGAAGTCAGTGCAGGAACTCAAGGCAGGGACCTGGAGGTAGGAACAGAAGCAGAGGCCATGGAGGAGAGCTGCTTACTGGCTTGGTCCTCATGGCTTGCTCAGTCTGCTTTCTTACACAACCAGGACCACCTGCTCAGCCCTCCCTCATCAATCAGGAAGAAAATGGCCATCAGAGTTGCCTACAGGCAATCCAATGGATGCATTTTCTAGATTGTGGTTCATCTTCCTAGATAACATTAGTTTGTGTCAAGTTGACAAACAAAACAACACAGCACCCAAACAGGCGCTGCATCTCTCTCTCTCTCTCCCTCTCCCTCTCCCTCTCCCTCTCTCTCTTTCTCTCTCTCTTCCTCCCCTCCCTCCCTCTCTCTCTTTCTTCCTTTCCTCTTGGCTTGGATCCACGGGACTTGTGCCCAGATGAGGGATGGGTTTAATGCTATTACGGAGCTGAGCACACCAGAAGTAAAAACAAGTATGTTTCTTTGTCACCATCTTGGCTGGTGACCTCATCAAGATGGAGACAGCCATGTGACTTGGCCACCATCATAGAGAACATCTACATCGGGATGACCATGTGACCTTGCCACCACATGGCATGGGACAAAAAGGCAGCATCCATTAACCTTCCTGGATCCCCTGAGCACTCGGGGGAGCACTGCATCCCTAGGACTCCCTGCAGCACAGGAACTCAGTCACACGTCCCAGCCCTCCCACTTGGTCCTCTTTGGTTTTCTTATTCTTAGATGCATAATGGGATCACGGAAACACAGACTCAGCCTTACCTTCACATAGATGGAACAACCGGAAAGAAGGAAGTCAGGAGGAGCCAGAGGGTCCTCTGAAGCCCACATGACCCCGAGGACCAAAGGAATCCTCAGTGGGACTTAATGATAAAAAGAAAGTGATGAAATCTGGCCTCCTCCACGATCTTAACCACCCATCAGAAGAGTATAGAGGTGTAACCCAGACTAAAATGACTGTGGTGTTGCCTCACCACTCCCCAGGCACCAGGGGGTGCCATTTAGAAGACTGTTTCTCACAATGACTTTCTTCTTGATAAGACATGCTGCCTAGGTACCGCACTTGAGACATGGCGAGAGAGACAGGCCCACGACTGTTTTAACCTATACTTAGTGCCATGTAGATTGCTTTTCTCTCCTCATCTAGGTGGGACCTCACATTGATATTGACCATTCCAATAGCCCTCAAAGAGTCTGAAAGCAGAACTCGTGAGCAGCCCCTGGGCTAAAGAAAAACGAGGAGGAGCCCAGGAGATGAGAAGCAATTTTAGATATTTAATAATTATCTTCTGTCCTGACTTCTGCTACGTGTGATGCTGATAACTTTTGCCCTAACGTACCTCATCTCTTTCCAGGTACCAGTCAGGACGTCCTTTCCTCACTACAAGTGGATGCCACACAAATGAAAATATTGATGGACTTTTGTGGGCTTTTAGATAGGTCCGTTGAAGAGGTAACTCTACATGCCTTCATGGAATTGGGGCAACAGCCAAGCTGGCCCCTTCCAGCTGCATGGGGTCATTGAGTGTGGCACTCAGGGTACATCTCCCACCAGCCTCTGTCAGGGATAAAAGACGGAGGCTCTCCTGGTTGAGCATACTCCCTAGCCCTGTTTGGGCTCTGGCAAACCCTTTCTATAAAAGAAATTGCCTTGTCAGACTACTTCAGCTTTGTTCCTGTGGTCCTTTGGAGGACACTGAGACCATTCTTTCCCCAACACCCATTCCTAAGTGATCTATCCATGTCTGCTGTCAAGCTGTGGCAGAAGCTGTCTGAGGAGCTGGGGGTGTTTATTCTCTTTACAAAGAAAATGTGCTGGCCCTGGTTTTCTGTGACTATGTATAAAATAAAGCTTGTTTTCAGTCGTGGCGACAGTGTGGTCAGCAGCCCTCTGAGCCATGGGCTGTTCCCCCAGCTACTTATATGTGCCTGCTGTGCGTAAAGATGAGAGCTGAGAACGCCTGGTGTATAAGCTGAGTTAGTGCACATGAACACAGCCTTCTAAAAGCATGGCCAAGGATGCTAAGTGTAGCCTATTTAGACTCTTCTGGACACAGAGACAGTGGCATGTGACAAATCCCTGAGCCTGGAGAGAAGGAGCAGCAGAGATGTGTCTTGGGTCAGGTCAGGGTCATGACAGGAAGGGGAGTCCTGCTGCTGGCTGCTGACATTCAGATCCAGAGGCAAACCAATGTGTGAGTCAGTGAGCAGAAATTTGTGAATACATTTAGATTTAAGCTTGGGACAATCAGGGTGGACTCGCCTGCAGTGCCTCAGTCTCTGACCAGCCTCCTACCAGGGAGCAAACCTGAGGGTCTGTAACAGGTTCTTAGTGCCAGGACTCCAGAGAGGTGAGGATCCCAGACCATCTCATCCCTGTGGCTGATCCTGGGACTTCCTGCTGCCACAGAGACAGACTCTGTACAGACAGCCTGACACCAGAGGCCACCATTAGGTGGGGACCTCTCAGTTAGATGCCCCCCCATACATTAGAGAGACCTGGCTCCAGGCTCCTGCTGTGGAAACTTCCCTTCCTCTGAGCTTTGTAGAAAGGGATCCCACTGTCTTATCAGAGCCCCACTGTGCTGTCTGTCTGTCTGTCTGTCTGTCTGTCTGTCTATGGTATCACTAACTCTTCTAATAATCCAAAGGTCAGTCCGCCCCTGTGTTGCCCTGACGCCCACACCCAAGACCTTTCTCTTAATCTTCTAAAAGGTAAGTTGGATTCAAGTATCTAGCTGCACTTTCATTTTTAATAACCAGAGCCACCCTGTCACACTGCATCCACCATGGTGTGACGCACGTTTGTTAAGCTCTGGCATTTTGAGGTAATTTGTTATTCGGAAATAGAAAATGAACACATCAACTGACAGGGTAGAAGATGGGAATCCATTCACCTCCTGGTTTCACACCTTGGAAATGCCTGGGAACGAAAATCACTCTGTGAAGACACCTGCATTCAGTTCTCACTGCAACTGTCAACTATCACACTTTAAAAGCTAGGTTCCACCCAGCATGTGGCACACAAACCTTTAATTCAAGCAGAGGAGGCAGAGGCAGGTGGATCTCTATGAATTCGAGGCCAGCCTGATCTACATACTGAGTTCCAGGCTATCCAGAGTTATGCAGTGAGATCCTGTCTCAAAAATGAAAACAAAAAAACTAGGTTCTCTCAGGAATGACAGAACTCCCCAAACTGTTTTCAACAGTGTGTGGACAATCTGCCCCAGTGCTCCCCAGAGCCGGGCCTGGTGGAACACAGTAATTTTTCCAAAACGAAAGGGGTTAAAAACCGAAATATCACTAATAATAACCATAGGTTAAGTTCATACTCACCAAAGAACATGGTGAACAGACTGAGTCTAGCCTGGTGGCCTAGACCGTCCCACCCTCTCAGGAGACTAAACCAGGAAGAGCCCAAGTTCAAGGCCAGAATGAACACTATAGCTAGAGCTGGTCTCAGAATAAAAAAAAAATAAGTAGGGGCCGAGTGGTGTGCTTGCCTGGTGCACACCTGGCCCTGGTTCCATTGCCCAAAGGCTATGTGCCTGGCCTTCCCTTTTGCCCGTTGAGGCCACTGTTTGTAGTGCCGCTAGCCCTTGAGAGAGAGGGGTGCTTACCCAGCGGGAAAAGCCTTTGTCACACTTGAGGCATAGGTGCACGTCAGGGACAAAGCTCGGATCGTGGTACTTCCTCAGGTGCACGGTAAGCAGCTGCTTCTGCCGGAAGTGTTTGCTGCAGTCGAGGCAGGAGAACGGCTTCTCTCCTGTGTGCGTGCGCACGTGCGCCTTCAAGCACCGCTCCTGGGGGGAAAGCAGGGACACGCGGCTGACACAGGGTGGAAGCGTTCCTCAGAACTGCCCATCATTAGTGAGCTTTCCCCCCTCAAGAGCGGTGTGGCCCTCATCAGAGTCAGGGCCTGCTGTGTGCTAGGGTCATCCTTGGCTACATGTGGAGTTCTAAGCCAGCCTGGGTTACAAGAGACCTGCCCCCAAACCAAAGAAAAACAGACACAAATTCTCTGTGGTCCACACAGAAGACGATAACTTATGTGAGTTGTGTTTGAGTGGGACCACCGGGGGCAGAAGGCGTCATATCCCCTGGAGCTGGAGTTATGCAGGTGCTGGGAATCAAATTCTGGTCTTCTATGAGCGCATCGAGCACCCTTGACGACTGATCATCTTTCCAGCCCCAATCTAGCCTACACTCTGAAAGACGGGGAATGTGGAACCCCGCCGCTGGTGTCCGCTAGTGAGACAGTCACCCAGCACCAAGGCACACTCAGATCATCACACACCCCAAGGTGCTTGTGTGTTGTGGATGAGACAGCCGTATTCACTATGAGAAACAGGAAGTGAGGAACTAATAGACATTTTGAAAAGTTAAACAAAAATCAGTCCATTAAAAAGAAATAACGCTACATCCCAATGTTACAGTGTGGGCCAGAGTGTTCAGGGTTCACACATAGGCAGAACCGCTCACGGATTATCTGAGTTAGAGTTAACTGCTCCACAGTTAACTCTGAGTTAAGAGTTACTATGTAGAGTTTTCTGCTGAGTCTGAAAATTCTTTTCAGGGATCCAGGAGAAGTCTGCCTCTGTTTCTCTGCATTTGTGGGGTGTTTGTTGAGTATCTGAGGAGAACCTGGGAGTGTAGGCATGGTTTTTTTTAAGAAGAATCAGAGGGAGCTAGGGAGACAGCTTAGTGGGTAAAATGTTTGCTGTGCAAGTTAAGAACCTTGAGTTAGGCCCCCAGTGCCTGGTAAAAGCTAGGGGTGGGGGCGTTTCCTGTGATCTCAGTTCTGGAGGTTCCTGGCACTCTCTGTCAGGCTAATCTGATCACCTAGCTCCAGGATCTGTTGGACTCTATCTCAAAATGTAAGGTGGAAAGTGATGAGACAGGCACCCAGTGCTGAGCTGTGAACTGCCCGTGTGCATGGGCAGGCAACCCCACACAGAAGGAGCTGTGGACAAGGTTTCTGCACACCCAAATTCAGTGAGCACTAATTCTTTAAAGTGTGGTGGCAACCCTGAACTCAAAGTCACAACAATCAACCTGTCTCCTGTGCTCTATGCCAAATGGACCTGTTGCCCAGGTGTGGTTTCCACCTCACTGAAGGGCGGTCACTTGGAGATCACCTGAGTGCAGAGCTGTGGAGTCTGGGTAAAACGGGTATGGCTCATCCCACGGGCAAATGAAAGACTTTCTGCTTCCTAGAGAGTCCCAATCCCCTCAGAGGAGTCTTCAACAGTCAGAACGCGGCAACAGTCAGAACGTTCGGGGCAGTGGTGACCAAGTCCCCCAATCTGAATTCTGATTTTCTTTTGAAAGGTGAAATTTTATGGGTGGCAACATGACTCCCCTGAATTTCCCACCATGCCATCCGTTTGTCAAGGCAATGTCCCTCACGTGCTTGTCACCAGTCTGTCTGTCATCAAATAAAAATGATGACCTTGGGAAAGTGGCTAGCTGGACTGGTAACTCAAGGTACCCCACTTCCTGGGCTGCGGAAGGCAGGGGCTGCTCTTCATAGCGCCCATCTCCTCCCACAGAACATGAAAGACTGTGTCGGGTCAAGATTTACTAGGGAAACAGCCTTGAGAGCATCACTGGGGCATTTAAAGTGATTTACTATTTTGTGTGACTATGGTGCGTGGGGGCATCAGAGGACGTCTTTGTGTAGTTGGTTCTCTCCTTCCCCTCTACATGGGTTTTGAGGAGGGAACTCAGCTCCCCAAGCTTTCTGCAAGCTTAGTGGCTGAGGGAGCACTTACCTGCTGAGCCATCTCATGGGCCCTTCTGCTATTCCTGAGTGAATAACTCTGGGCAGGAAGACCACAGCCATAGCCGGTCTGGTTTTGCAGGGTGTCACTGCTGCAGTTAGGACGGAGACACTGGGTGTCCATACAGGGAGGAGGTGCACCATCCCGGCATCACTTTCATGATGGCTTGTGTGGCCCTGAGTGTGGTAGACCTCAGCAGGTCTGTGAGCTCTCTCTGCAGCTACAGCGGATGCCTGTGACTGCTCCAGCTACTCTGATCTGGCTGCTTTGGTTAACTCAACCCCTCCAAGGTTAGCTGTGAGAGGAGGTCTCTTTTCTTTTTTTCGTTGTTTTTTGAAACAAGGTCTCATTATGTGGCCTTGGCTGTTCTGGAACTTGCTAGGTTAGCCAGAGTGGCCTCAAACTCGGAGATCCACCTGCCTCTGTGCTGGGGATAATGTGCACAGCCACACCCAGCCCCGTGTCTGTATGTGTGTAAGTGCACGGAGCTCCAAAGACACATTGGATCCCCTGGAGCTGGAGTTTTGTCTGCTACCCAGCATGGGTGCTGGGGTTAGAACTCTGGTCCTCGTGATAGAGCAGCAATCGCTCTTAACTGCTGAGCCAGCTCTCTAGCCTCTAGCTTCCTTCCTTTCTTTTTAAAGTTTATGTTTTATTTTGATATATAGGAGTGTTTCTCATGTTCGTATGTGTCCCTGGTACCCCGGGAACTCAGAAAAGGGTGTCGGATCCCCTGGAACGGGAGTTACCTTGCGCTATGGATCGTTGTGAAACACTGTGTGGGTTCTGGGAAGCAAACTCGGGTCCTTGATAAGAGCAGCAACTGCTCCTAAGAGCTGAGCCTCCTCTCCAGCTCCCAGCCTGGTTCCTAAGAATGACTGCTTCCCAGTGTCCCACGCGGTACCTGCTTGCACAGTCAGCATTTGAAGTGACTTACACAGTGCCGGCTTGCACACGGTCTTCACACTGACTCACACACAGTACCTGCTTGCATGCGTAATCACACTGTTTGCACTTGAACTTCTTCTCATTCTTATGGGACCTCTGGTGCTGGATGAGGGCGTAGCGCTCATGGAAGCCGGCGGGACAGTATCGGCACTTGATCTCCACGGGGCTGTGGCTGTGCAGGTTGCGCAGATGGACACCTGTTAGAGCCACAGGAGACACCGTGAATGCCTAGGAACTTCTTGGGTGGGGTGGGCAGTTCTTGACACTGCAGACTCTCCTCCGCACCCCCACCCCCCAGCTACATTAGCTCGTCCCCCTTAGAGATGACAACTGCCACCTCCATATCCAGGCGCATGTCCTGGGCACCAATGCTCCACCTGAGACCGCTGCCATGAAGGAACGAACCAGAGGCCTCAGTCTAAGACCTGTCCAACAGGGAGATCATGGCTATAGATCGACCATGAACATTAAGAACCATAGTACAGCGCAGGGGCTTAGAGAAGGCTAAGGGGGTTTCTGTAACAAAACCATGACTGTTGTCCTGCTGGGAATCTAGGCCCCTTTGTCCCCATGACCTAAGAGAGGTGCATACTGGGCACGCTGTCTAGGAAGCGCCTTCCTCAGCTAAGCTCAGGCCTGGTGGCCATGCGGCACCATGAGAAGCTGAACAAACGACACCAGTATGATGGACGACGAGCACCTGTACCCCCTGTACCCCTGAATCAGGCGGACAGACCATCACCTCCTTACAGGGAGACTAAGAGCCAGTAATCGCTACAGCAGCCCTACATGTCCCCTCTGGCATGTGACAAACAGGCTGTGCTTGGCAACTGGCCAGTGGTCCCTTTGTCCTACAGGTCCCAGTGGGCAGTGCTTGGTGGCTCAGGAGCCACAGCAGCACTGACGGAATGTTCCAGATGAAAAGACGAGATTGGTCAGATACCTTTACCCCTGCAGGGGTATTTCCAGAATCTCTGGAAATTGCCTCCCAAGGCAACTGAGAGGACTTTTATTTTTACTGACACTTTTACCCCCTCCTCACTCTGTGCCTTCCACACTCCTGCCCTGCACACCCCACACTCCTGCCCTGCACACTCCTGCCCTGCACACCCCACACTCCTGTGTCAAAAGCTGTCTGCCCCTCCCTGAAGGGCTGATGCACCTCGCAGAGTCTCCCCCGAAAGCCTCATCCTGTCCTGGGTCACAAGGCTCACCACAGGAGAAGGTAGACTTTGTGTCACAAGCTGCCTCTTACTGAACACCTTCCTTAGGGCGAACCCTGCCTCAGTTGCTCCTCTGTACCCTCATGTTCCCAGCAAAGTGTGCGAAGGGCAGACTGAGGAGGGAACATGGACAGGGCTAAATTTCTACCGCTATGTTTCTGACACCCAGGTCATCAGCACTGCTGTCTCCAGCAGAAAAATTACCTGTGTCCTCCAGTCTCAGTGTCCTTATCTGTAAGAGCAAGTCTAACACCAGATAAAACAATACCCACGGGTTTGCCCTTACAGGTATGTAGCCTGGGCTGGCCACTTCTGAACCGCATGCACTTACTCAGCTCGGCCACCAGAGGGCAGGGCAGGACCTCTGTAAAAAACATTGCTAGACAAATTTCCCAATCTCAGTGAGACTTCCAGACTTGGGCAGGCTCTGCAGGATTGCAGACCTTGGGAGTCCATAGGGCAGGTCTGTACTGTGGCCAAGGGGACACTTTAAACCAGATACTCACGCAGGTCGCTCTTCCTTGCAATGACGGTAGCACAGTGGGGACACTCGTGTTTGGGCACATTCTCGCCATGCTTCTGTGCCACGTGGATTTTCATGGTGCCACTCTGGGTGAACCGGGCATGGCAGGTGGGGCACTCATAAGGCTTCTCACCTGTGGCAGGAACAACAAGTGACTCTCAGAGCGTGGCTTCCCTGTGAGCCTGGTCTTTCCCAAAGGACACCTGTGCTGGGGTTTTGCCTTTCTGGAGGTTTAGCCTCAACGGCGTAGGACCAGGAAGGCAAGGCAGACAGCAGGGTCACGGGCCCAGATGTGACATCTCTGACACTGTGGCCCCTCACCTGCTCGGAGTGGGTGCGTGAGATTGTGTATGGAGAGCAGACCTGGGCCTGCACAGTCTTTACATGACAAACCAACTGAGCAGGGGCAGCTCTCACCTGAGTGTGACATGGCTCTCACCTGAGTGTGACACTGCTCTCATCTGGGTGTGCATATGGCTCTCACCTGAGTGTGCACAGGACTCTCACCTGAGTGTGACATGGCTCTCACCTGAGTGTGTATGCATGACTCTCACCTGAGTGTGCACACAGCTCTCACCTGAGTGTATGCATGACTCTCACCTGAGTGTATGCATGACTCTCACCTGAGTGTGCACACAGCTCTCACCTGAGTGTGACACTGCTATCATCTGGGTGTGCGTACTCCTCTCACCTGAGTGTGACACTGCTATCATCTGGGTGTGCGTACTCCTCTCACCTGAGTGTGACACTGCTATCATCTGGGTGTGCGTACTCCTCTCACCTGAGTGTGACACTGCTATCATCTGGGTGTGCGTACTCCTCTCACCTGAGTGTGACACTGCTATCATCTGGGTGTGCGTACTCCTCTCACCTGAGTGTGACACTGCTATCATCTGGGTGTGCGTACTCCTCTCACCTGAGTGTGACCTGGCTCTCACCTGAGTGTGCACAGGACTCTCACCTGAGTGTGACATGGCACTCACCTGGGTGTGCACATAGCTCTCACCTGAGTGTGACATGGCTCTCACCTGAGTATGACATGGGTCTCACCTGAGTGTGACATGGGTCTCACCTGGGTGTGTACAGGACTCTCACCTGAGTGTGACATGGCTCTCACCTGAGTGTGCACAGGACTCTCACCTGAGTGTGCGCAGGACTATCATCTGAGTGTGCACACGGCTCTCACCTGAGTGTGCACACAGCTCTCACCTGAGTGTGACATGGCTCTCACCTGAGTGTGCACAGGGCTCTCACCTGAGTGTGCACAGGACACTCACCTGAGTGTGCACAGGACACTCACCTGAGTGTGACATGGCTCTCACCTGAGTGTGCACAGGACTCTCACCTGAGTGTGACATGGCTCTCTCCTGAGTATGACATGGGTCTCACCTGAGTGTGACAGGGCTCTCACCTGAGTGTGCACAGGGCTCTCACCTGAGTGTGCACAGGGCTCTCACCTGAGTGTGCACAGGACACTCACCTGAGTGGGTCCGCATGTGGCGCTTCAGCTTGTAGGTGTCCTTGCTGGCATAAGTGCACTGGCAGCACTGGAAGGGACGCTCACCCGTGTGTGAGCGGATGTGGCGCTTCAGCTTGCTTGCCTAGGACATGTGTGGGAGAGAGAGGGTCATCGTGATGGGGACCTGAGGTGGTCAGGGCTGCAGGTAACCAGCTTCCTAAGAGAGATATGAGCAACGAGCAATCCCAGAAATCAGGAAACTGCGGCAGGAGGATTGCTGTAGTTCAAGGCCACTAAGACTACATCAGGGGACCTTGTCTCAAACACCACCCCCTCCAAAATAAAAGAACAGAAAGGAAAGAGGGAGCAAAAGGAAAACCCAGGTGTGGTAGTGCATGTCTGTAAGCCCAACTCTGGGGAGGCTAAAGCAGGAGGATTGCTGCAAGTTGGAGAACAGTCTGAGTCGTACAGTGAACCCAAAGCTAACCTGGGCTACAGAGGCTTTGTCTCAAAAGAGCAAAGGAAAAGATAAATTAACCTGACCTCAGTGTCAGGTGTCCCCTAAAGCAGAGCTGTCCAGTCTGTGGATGAGCCTTCCCTTTGCCACAGGCTGTGTGCACAAGGTCCGCTGGGTTAATGAGCAGAGCTCTGAAGACTTTCACACTAAATTTCTCTTTACAAAAGAAACAGAGCTTGCTGCTCAGTGCCATGTGTTTCTATCTTTATTTCCAAGCCCTTGTCCACTCACAGTAGAAAAGTTTAAGTAACCAAAAAACAGAGCCGGAAGAGCTTTCCAAGGTGGGAAAGCTGAACCACAAGATAAAGGGAGAGCGGCCAGAGGGCACCTGGGGCTCAGAGTCCTCACGGGCCCTCTGCTAACCCTGTTGGTTCTGTCTGCTACTGACTTCTTTTAAAGATCTTTCTGAGACAGAGGCGCACTTTGTAGTTCAGACTGGCCTCCAACTCACAGTGATCCTGCTGCCTCAGCCTCTGTATGCCGACCTTGCTGTCATTACTTGGGAGGCAGAGGCACAGAGAATCTCTGTGAGTCTGAGGGTCAGCCTGGCTATATAGTGAGTTCCAGGCCAGCCAGGGCCTCAAAGTTAGTGCTGAACCAACCAGGGCCATGTTATGAGCCACCATCTCAAATACAAACAAAAGTAACACAGAGGGAAAGAAAATGAACTCTGTTAGGTATGGAAGGCCCCTGAAGGAGACACAGCAAGAGACTCCTCATTCCCACAGCCGCCGGCTTTACTGCCACCCTTTCTCACTGTTTCACTGGGAGCGGCGCCATCGGCCACACTGGGCTGGAGGCTTGGGTCCCACATCCACCCTGCTTACGCTCAGCAAGGGCACACAGACCTGAATGCAGGAGGCACGCCTAGGCCGGAAGAACATTTTAGAACAGAAGAAGGCTTACAGTGCGAAGCAAGACCCACGATAATGGCTCAGCTTGATTTTTTTTAAAGAAGAAATACGGGGATATCTTCCATGTATCATAGGAAGGAAAGACACAAGCATTTTTACCATTTCTGTGTGGGATGGCTCGGGATTCAGCATGGCAAATGGTAGGAGATCTAAGGTGGTAACATAGGGTGTTCGTGCTTGGCTCTACCACCAAATGCATCTTCAGCCTTCTTTTTACCTTTTGAGACCGTGTTTAAGTTGCGCAGGCTGACTTGGAGCTCATGCTATAGCCCAGGAAGGCCTTGAACTTACCTCCAAGGGGCTCAGCAGAATGCACAAGCATCAGAAACTGGTGTGTCTAGTCCACTCTGCTTTCTCACATGTAAAGGGGTGGGGCAGGGAGGTCACAGCCCATCATCCTACCTGAATGCTAGCCAGCAAATACCATCAAAAGACGGAGGCATAGTGGGCAGTGCCCCGTAGGCCACCCCGGGGCTCCATGGATGCTCTGTCTCTGGGCAGGGTCTGAGAGCCTGGGCAGACTTGCGGGACGCCATAGTAAGTCCTTCCCCAAGAGGAGCCTTGGAGTCGCCTTGTCGGAGAGACACCTTCTGAGACCTCATGTTGCGGCCACAACCTTTGCCTCAGATAGGAAAGCTCTTTTTAAAAATAGCCACAGCGGAAAGAGGTTCTTGGAATCGGATTCTGGCCCGTCTGTGAAGTACCCCGATTTATGAAACACACTTGCGTCACTGCTGAGTTTGAGCTTTCGCTGTCCCCTTTAGCTTAGTTCCTGTTGGGAGTCCCTGCTTAACCCTCCACCAGGATGCAGCCTCTTCCTCACACGAAATGGAGCCTTGGGCAGGGACTGCTGAAAATGGGCCTGAAAAGGGGACGCCGCACGCACACAGACTTGTTTCACCGAAGGGCCTGATGGCAGGCAGTGCAGGCCCGGCATCCCAGCTACTCAGGAAGCTGAGGTAGGAGGATTTCAAGTTCAAGGACTGCCTAAGCTGCAGAATGAGTTCAAGGCCAGCATGGGCAACTTAGTGAGACCGTGTCTCAAAAAAGAAGAAATAGCTGAGGACATAAGTCAGTGGTAGAACAGTCACCTAGCATGTTGGAGGCCCTGGGTCCAAACCACACTCACACACACTCACACACTCACACACACTCACACACACACACTCACACACTCACACTCTCACACTCACACACACACTCACACACACTCACACACAGACACATACACACATATACACACACGTGCGCACATGAGCAGAGCAGGCAGCTAAATTCCATCTGAGTCTCTAGTGGTGCCATGAGTTGGGACAGGGTTATGTCTTCAAGCTGCTGCCTTGTGGTGCTGGGGCACAGCTCAGCTCAAAACTTCAGCCCAAATTCCCAAGTTCTGTACTAGAAGGGACATTCTGGTTTGTGCCCCTGACAGTGACATAAAATACTAGAAAGGCCTTTTCAACAAGTCTGAGTTTTCTCTCTCTCTCTCCTATTCTTAAATTTTCATTTTGTGCATTCGAGTGTTTGCCCTCATGTATGTCTGTGCGCCACAGGAGTGTCTGGTGCCCAGAGGCCGGAGAGGGCATCGGATGCTTTGGAACTGGAGTTACAGGCATCTGGTTGCGAGCCACCACGTGGGTGCTGGGAATCAAACCAGACCCTCTGCAAGAGTAGCCGGTGCTCATAACTGCTGACCATCTCTCCAGCCCCAGGGTTATTTTTTGACCATAACTACTATATAATCTATGTACTTTTAAATGTTGCTGGGGGTGGGCGAAGAGATGGTTCAGCAGCTAAGAGCATGTGTTGATCGATCACCCTTGCAGAGGACCCAGGTCCTGCCCCCAGTACTGCTGTCAAACGGCTTCCCAACCACTGCAGCTCCAGCTCCACGGAATCCATGTGTCTCTCTTGGTCGTCTCAGGAACCCACACTCACATGCACACACCACCCATCTCAGTTGAAAAATAATAAAAACAAATCTAGATAAATACTGTTTGGGGGTGGTGAGATGGCGTGACCGGTAAAGGTACTTGCCGACAAGCCTGACAGTCTTGAGTTCAATCCTCCAGAAGGAGAGAACTGACTCCATCAAGTTGTCCTCTGATGGTCAGTTATGGAGACCAGGCTGGCCTTGAACTCACAGCAATCCTCCAGCCACAGTGCTGGGATTATAGGTGTGAGCTGCCACACCCAGCTCCAGTTTTCTATATTTAATTCAGACAACAATGCCCGTGGCCTCTGGCATAGATTTTAAAACGTCTTTGGTGAGTAGCTGAATACCGGAGAGAGTAGTGTCCCTCTCGGGGTGGCGATTTCTCACTCCTGTACAGGGCTGACTGCAAGGGGTCTCACCTCGACACTGGCATACTTGCAGATGGAGCACTTGAAGGGCTTCTCATGAGTGTGTTTGTAACGCCTGTGCCGGACCAGTTCCCCGCTGGTGACAAATGCCATGCCACAGTCCCCGCACTTGTAGGGCCTGGTTCCTGGGAAATCATGGGGTTTACACTTTTCAGACGAGACTTACCTGCAAAACTTCCATCGACTTTGTAGTTTGGAAATGGCAGTCTGAAAGGGTTCAGCAATTAAGAAGTTCTTTGCACTATAAATATCACAGATGTACGAGACTTTGCTCTGGGTAACAGTCAGTGCTTTTAACTGAAATTCAAGAAGGCGGACTCGGGGCGGGGGTGGGGGTGGGCAAAACTAAGCCGGGAAATGGAGTGGCAGGCTTGTAACCCCAGCACTCAGAAGGCTCAGGCAGTGGGATCGGTGGTTAGAGATTAGCTTGAGCTACAAGTGAGACCCTATTTCCAAAACAAAAAACAGAAACAAAACAGGGAGGAAAAGGGCAAAACTAAGCATAAATACTTGTACAATGGGAACCTCCCTTCTTGTTGGAGAGCAAGGTGTAAATGGTCCATGGATACTTATGCTAAGGTTTAATTAATACATTAGACACTATAAAACCGGAATGAACAGCAATAAGAGATTGAAAGACCAATGAGCTGGGCCGGTGGCCCAAGTTTATCATCCTAGCTGCTCAGGGGCTGAGACAGGAGACTCACAAGTTCCATGCTAGCCTGGGCAACTTAGACCTGTCTCAAAATAAAAAGAAAAGGGCTAGGGATATAGTCTAGTGATGGAGAACTTGCCTAGCGTGCCTGAGTCCTCATTTTACAAAGAACGAGCAATGAAACTGAGTTTAGCAGATGCCAAGAGAATACTGGCAAAACTCTTTAAACCATACGCAGGGAGGAAACTTATCTAATCAGCTGCCTCTTCTGCAATTTCACTTTATTTCTGCAGGGCGGGGGGACGGAACCCAGGGCCCTGCATGTGCTAGGCAAGTGCTCTCCACTGAGCTCTACCCCAGCTTCTGGGAGTTTCTATTTTCCAGGTTGACCAGCTGTAGCAGAAACCTCAGTGAAGCCCCAGGTGAAGAACTCACTGGGTTCCTTGCACCCTCACCAAGACTTACGGTGCATCTGTGAAGGAAGCCCGCCCAGGGCGCCTCACCTGTGTGAGTATTGACGTGGTTCCGAAGGAGGGTGACTGTGCGGAAACCCTTCAGGCACAGGTGGCACAGGTGAGGTCTCTCGTCGTTATGAATTTTCACGTGACGGGTGAAAGTCGAGAATTTGGAAGAAGTGAATGGACAGAATTCACACTGGAAGGTTCGGGTTTTTCCTACAAGGAGAAGACACAGTGACTCATTTGGGAAGATCTCCCTTGAGTGGTTCCAGCCAAGGCCAGGATAAGGCGATGGCTCGATACCCCGGGGCACCCCATTCTGGATGAAGAGCATCTTATTAGGAGGTAAGTGTCTGTCTAGGTCCCTAATCCATCTTCCAGAATGGGAACCAGTAGGGTTCACAAACATCTGTGACTCCCATTCCAGAGGATCTAGTGCCCTCTTCTGGTCTTCATGGGCACTGCACACAGGTGGTGCACAGAAATACATGCACACACACACACATAAATTAAAAATAAATCAATCTTAGCTGGGCGGTGGTGGTTCACACCTTTAATCCAAGCACTCAGGAGGCAGAGGCAGGCAGATCTCTGTGAGTTCAAGTCCAGCCTGATCTACAGAGTGAGTTCCAGGACAGCCAGGGCTACACAGAGAAACCCTGTCTCAAGAAAACAATAAAGCAAAAAAATCAATCTTATAGAAATGTCACAACATTTAGAGTGTGGTGGAGACCAGAGAGGATAGAAGATGAAATGTCTGCTCAAAGCAGGGCACCCCAGAAGCAAATCTCCCACAAACATGGACCCAAGTGCCTATGCTCTCTGTTGAGTGAAACGAAGACACCCGAGCGACTTCCCAGCATCCTCTGCCCAAGCTGGGGAGCTCTGGCAAACTGGCATGAAGCTGAATGAAACCACAGCCAACAGCTACACGTGACTATTTAAGTCTGTATCTAAAATGACTAAAATGAAAACAGAACGTGGTTTCTCTGTGGTGAGCCTCGTTTCTGCGCCCACCAGCCACACGGGTGGTGGTTTCTGCACCAGATGTCCCTGTTGGCAGAGCCAGGTCATGTAGGCAAGTGAGGACATCGTCTGCCAGGAGACAGCTGTGAAGGAGTGTGCAGCCTCGTTACCATTCCCTGACAAAGCTCTCGAGGAGCTGGCTGAGGGCAGTTTACAGCTTCCAGCACTGTGGGTGATCCCATCTGCTGTTTGAAGGCACTGAGCAACCTGAGCTTATGACAACAACTACCAGACACTCACACGAGCAGCCAAGGCTGTGAAGGTGTTTCTCTTCAGATGATACACAGAGGGCCAATATGTGCTTGGAGAAACAGCCTCAGAAAGACGTGAATGGAAGCAGTCAGATTCCTTTTCACACCCAGTGCCACCAGAGCGACCACCAGAACAACGACCATTGGAACAACATCCACCAGAGCAACCACCAGAACAACGACCATCAGAGCAACCATGAGAACAGCCATTAGAACAACAACCATTAGAACAAACAACTGTTAGAATGACAGGACAGTGCACTGAGATCTGCTTGGTGAGGGTGTGGGGTAACGAGCCTCTGACTCTGTAGTCAGTTATGGAGATAGTTTGGCAGTTTCTCAGAAGTTAGACATGGGTCAGGACAGACGACTTAGCATGGAAGACTGCTTTCTATGCAAGCTCGACGACCCAGGCTCAAATCCCCGGCACCCGAGTAAAAAGCCAGGATTGGCCTCCCATGCCTTTAACTCTAGTGCTGTGGGAGTTGGAGACAGGAGGATTGCTGGAGCTTGCTGGCCTCCAGCCTAGCTTCACGTTCAGCCAGAGAGCCAGTCTCCACAGAGGGTGATAAGCAGATATTCTGTGATCTCTTCCTATGGGGTTTCCACATGCATTCATGGACATGCACACACACACACACACACACACACACACACACACACACACACACACCAAAACATCCAGCAAAGGATGAATGGATAAATAATTGTAGGACGCCCATGCAATAGAATACTAGCCAGCTGTTAAAAAGGAAATGCTAATATATGCAGCAGTAAGAGGAACCCTGAAACTGTACCAAGTGAGAGAATGAAGAGCCAGATGACATATGGTTTGCAAGTATTATTATGGACATATTATTCCATACGTCCAGAACACAAAAAGTATACTGGTAGTTCCCAGGGCCAAGAGACCAGGGATGGAAAGTAACTAAATGATAGAGATTTCTTCTTGGGGGCAGTGATAAAAATGTTTTGGAATTAGAGTGGTGATGGCTGCATGGGATTACAAATACATTAAAAACTGAAATGCAAGCTAGGAGAGAAATTTGAAGCTATAGCCTCAGGACTGACTATATGAGAAGCTGCCATAGGCAAAGAGCCCAAACTCCACCCCCAGAGCAGAAACCTACAGGGATGACCCTGGCCACTTAGAAGGGAACTGAAGTGCTGAAGGGTGGCTGGTTCCTTTGTAAGCTGCATCACCTCCTTCCCACCCTGGCCATGAGCTACTAGCAGAGAAAGATACTGTGTGCTGTCACAGAGTGACTTTTTAATGGTGTTTGTTTGCTTGTTTTGGAGGACTGGGGATGGAGTCCAAGAGCTGAGCCACTGAGCTACAATTCCAGTCAGAGAGGACTTTCAAGAAGTCATCTCGAAATTGAGATAATGGGATAAAATGTCTTGACTTAAATAAGCGAGAAATTACTTTAAAACAGCAGTCCATTAAACCACCATGAGTCAAAATCTTCCTGTGGGCTGCTAGGATGGCATCTATTGTGCTGTTATTATGAGACCTCCACAGACTAAGTGAGGGCCCTGACAGGGCCATGGATGCCCACACAGGAGGGCATCTTTCTGCTACTCTTAGGCTGGCTTCATTCTCCACCATAGCCCCCAGCCTGGCTCAGTCCTTCTTCCTGGCCCCCAGTCTCACTCTGTCTTTCTTTTTGGCCCCCAATTTTGCTCGCACCCTTTCCTAGCCTCTAGCCTTCTGCAGGAAAGGATCCCCAGTCCCATTGCCTTGTCTTTTCTCTTCTACAGGGCAGGGCTCTCTGCTGCCCTGCATGTAATCACCTGCCCCCACCTACCACTCCCAAGGAACTTCAAGCCAGAAAGCAGAGTCAAGGGCCTGCCCTGTGATTTATGTGCATAAGGCTTTTTGGAACATGAAAAACTGCCTTTAAAATGTTTGTGTGCAAAATGAAATAAAAAAAAAACCTTTTGGGTTTGAGTTACACTATAGAACATCAGTTTAAAATTCCTGTTGGTGATGCTGACACACACCTTGGGAGGCAGAGACGGGCGGATCTAATGAGAGTTTGAGGCCAGCCTGGTCTACAAAGCTACACAGAGAAACCCTGCCCTGGAAGAAAACATTCCTTCCATTTCTTGATGTTCCGAAAGGGACTTTCAAAAGCTAACTTCAATAATTGCCACCTTCCCACAAGAGAAGCAAGGGGTCCCCCAGGGTCTTGTGCAAGCCACCAGCCTAACCTTTGCCCCTCTCTGGAGGTTTGGTGGTCTCAGCGTTCGGCGCACTGGTCTGCTTTGGCGCTGATTGATCTTGCTGCTCTTCCAGGCTCAGATGGGAAATGGTCAGAACGATCTCATCTCTCTTTTCATCGTTTGGTGTCATTTCCACAAAAAGGAACTTCTCTTCTTCTTTCGTATCTGGTTCTCCCGCCTCGGGTAACAGCTGGTCCTGCTCCTCGTCTTCAAACTGATAAGTAAAAAAAACGAGCAATCAGAGGCAACATGGTTAGCTACAGTCTAATAGAATTCTTCATGCTGGCAAACCACAGACCACAGAAGGAAAAGCTGACACGTGAAGACCACTCATGGCCACCAAATGATTGCAATTAAGCCTTCGTTCACTTAGCATCTGGGTTTCTGTGGTGACTTGATCTTTGTCGCTGGTGGTGGTTCTTACAGCGTCTGTAGTCAAGCCAGCCTCACGCTCCCTATGTACCTGAGGAGGGCCCTGAACCTCTTCGCCTCCTGCCTCCACATCAGAATGCCCATTGTGTACCATCAAGCCAGGTGTATAAGGTTCTGGGCACGAAAGCCAGGCTTCATGCATGCAGGCAAGCACCGTACCAACTGGGTAAGGCCATAAGACTTCTGTTTTTCAAACACAACGCACCTTACATTAATAAAAGCATTGTTTCCTGTGACTTTTAAAATACTCTATGTATTACATATAATACACATACTATATATGTGTGTGTTAACATATGGTAAGCTTCATACTTATAAATACGTATATGGAAAGATCTCTCATTATTCTTACTGCATCAAAATATCTTGTCCATACGTAATATCGCCCAAAGCCTCGATCTCGGAAAAATCAGTTTTACCTTCCTCTTTCCCACAAGGCACCGGTGTGTGAGAGTGAACCATACCTTCGTCTGGGCTGCGCTTCCGCCCGAGTTTGGCGTTAACTCTGGGTCCTCCTCGGCCGCCGGCACACTCTGCTGCAGCAGTTGAAAATGTGTCAGCCCGACGTCCTCAGGCTGGTACAGCTCCTCCGGGATACTGACGGTCATGCAGTGCTGGAGGCTGGGCTGGGACTCTTGTTCCAGCCACAGCACGGATGGCAATGGCAGGAAGCTCTCCTCTTGTGGTATCGTCACCGGGAACTCCGAGTGGGGCACGCTCAGCCACCCCAGCCCCTGCAGCTGCACATCCTGGGAGGTCAGGTGCACCGTCTGCAGGGTCAGGACCCGCCTATCGCTCTCCACCGCCGGGACCCACAAAGGCAGCTCAGGCTGGTCTTTCTGGAGCCCGGCTGCTGCATCCAGAAGCTGACAGGGCACGGCCTCCGCCTCGACAGCACCCTCCTGGGCTTCCATTCTTTGTACCCCACCCTCCTCCTTTTCCTCTTCCAGGTCTCCAGGCTTCAACTTCTGCTCTTTGATTTGGGTGAAATGCTCAGAAGGGACAGGGACCTCAGCAGCAGCCATGGTGACGTCCCCTGATGGAAAGAGAGCGTGCAATCTTCGTGGGGTGCGCAGGGGCTGAGGCCTAGCGGACACAGGCTCTCACCAAGGTGCAGAAGACAGAGCCAGCGTTCCAGGCCAGCCTGGGCTCTGTAGTGAGACCACGTCTCAGCATCCCTCCAGCACCCGCAAAAGGCTCTAGCGGGACTTGCTACAGCAGGCCACAATTCCACATTCTAAATCCCTGGCTGGGTGCACGACGCTAAGGGCGGTGGTCTGAGCTGGCATGGCCAAGAGCTGATCAAAACCGGGGTCAGCGCACAGGTTTCCATAGGCTCAGCCCCCCCTCCCCCAAAACCCGGTGCGACACTCGAGGTCTGCAGGGCAGAGCAACCTCTCTTTGTGCCTCGCTGCTCTGTGCAGCCATGTGCACACGGCCCATCAGGCTCCATGTCTGCCTCCCACGCTCGGGCCCCAGCCGTCGCGCTCCACCCCGTCTCACTCCACCCTATCCCACCCATGCCCACGCCCCCTGATGCTCTCCAGGAGGCCGGGGCTCCCTGGAGCCTCACCACGAAGGCGGGACCTGGGTAGAGTCTATCGCGTGGCTGCCGCCTTGTCACCTCGTGCTAAGCGAATCCTCGTGCTGCAGCCGCTGCCACCACCGCCCCAAAGAGAGCCGTGTGCAGCGCTGGCGGGGAAAGGGGTGGAGCCAAGGAGAGGGAGAGCATGGAGATGGGGACGTGGAGTGAGTGGCACAGGACCCCAAGGGGGCGCTGGAGTCCCGGGGGTGATTGATAGACAGAGATGGAGGGTGGAGTCCTGGGAGGGGGTGCTGGAGAGCTGGAGGTGATGGACAGAGAGGGAGGGTGGAGTCCTGAGGGGGGCGCTGGAGAGCTGGAGGTGATGGACAGAGAGGGAGGGAGGGTGGAGTCCTGGGGGGCGCTGAGGCCTAGGGTGTGAGGATGGCTGGGAGGAGGGGAGGGGTCCTGAAGCGGGTGCTGGAGGCATGGCAGGTGGACGGCCATGGACAGGGAGGCTGAAGAGGGGTCTGCAGGGGGCGCTGAAGCAAGACTGGATGAAGTGGAGGGGACGCTACCTGGAGACTGGGAGGACTGACAATGAAGAGGAAGGTCTTACAAGAGGCAGAAGCCTGTGTGTGCGCGCGCGTGTGTGCACGAGTGTGTGCATGTGTGACTGTGTGTATGTGTGTGTGAGTGTGTGAGTATGTGAGTGTGAGTGTGTGCGCGTGTGTGTGTGTGTGTGTGCATGTGTGACTATGGGACTGTGTGTATGTGTGTGTGAGTGTGTGAGTATGTGAGTGTGAGTGTGTGCGCGTGTGTGTGTGTGTGTGTGCATGTGTGACTATGGGACTGTGTGTATGTGTGTGTGAGTGTGTGAGTATGTGAGTGTGAGTGTGTGCGCGTGTGTGTGTGTGTGTGTGCATGTGTGACTATGGGACTGTGTGTATGTGTGTGTGAGTGTGTGAGTATGTGAGTGTGAGTGTGTGCGCGTGTGTGTGTGTGTGTGTGCATGTGTGACTATGGGACTGTGTGTATGTGTGTGTGAGTGTGTGAGTATGTGAGTGTGAGTGTGTGCGCGTGTGTGTGTGTGTGTGTGCATGTGTGACTATGGGACTGTGTGTATGTGTGTGTGAGTGTGTGAGTATGTGAGTGTGAGTGTGTGCGCGTGTGTGTGTGTGTGTGTGCATGTGTGACTATGGGACTGTGTGTATGTGTGTGTGAGTGTGTGAGTATGTGAGTGTGAGTGTGTGCGCGTGTGTGTGTGTGTGTGTGCATGTGTGACTATGGGACTGTGTGTATGTGTGTGTGAGTGTGTGAGTATGTGAGTGTGTGCGTGTGTGTGTGTGTGTGTGTGTATGTGTGTATGTGCATGTGTGACTGTGTGACTCTGTGTGTGTGTGTGTGTGTGTGTGTGTTGTTCTGGGTGGTGGAATGGGGTTTGGAGGGAGGCTGGCGCTGTAAAATGGAGGGCAACAAACCTGGTGGGCACAGGGTGGTAACCGTTCAGTGGGGGAGGCCAGAGGGAGTCGGGTGGAAACAAGAACGTTCTGTTGAAATTATGGAACATTGCAAAGTTGTACAACATACCTTAAAAAAGAAAAAACAAACGTGGGCCTCAAATGTGTTGTCTTCCAACTTGTGAATATCTTCCACCTACCTGCGGCCTTTACTCAAACAGCTCCCCGTGCAGTCAATGGGTGGAGCCCGTCAGAGGTGCTGTGATGGAAGGCAGGAGGCCTGGACCTCAGAGGGACCAGAGGTGCCCTTCTCCACCAGCTGATGTTCTCAGCAGGAGCATCCTTGGCTGGCAGGTGGGATGGAGAAGAGATGGAAATGGGGGGCAGTGGAAAAATAGAAGCTAACAGGACACTCTCTCCCCTTGGGCCCCTCCCATCCTCCAAAGTCGTTTGCTTTTCCACAACTAGGAGTTTGTTAAAGGTATGGCTTGTAGCTCTCATCATTTAACACATTTCAAAAAGTGTAATGTGATCTTGTTTGCTAGTTGTGAATAAACATGTTTGTATGTTGGGATAAGTCTCAAAGGCGAGCACACAGTTTGAAGAACAGGCTTCTAAAAGTAAGTGACTTTGTGGGTTTTCATGTAGTCTTGATTCTAACCCGCCCCCTAATACCAAGGCATGGATCTCCCTCTTACTGTAGCCCTGGGATTTTTCAATGTCCACACACACCTCTCTCCTGGCCTTTTTCTCCCCACACTGTCTCATAGCGATTTGCCTCTTATTTTCGTACAGTATATACTCAGATTTTTTTTTTATTTCAATAGTGCAACAGATGGAACTCAAGTCAGTTTCAACAGAAACTCTCACACCATTCATGAGTTAGATTCTGAGGTCCCTGGTTTTCTTCTCCTCATGTCTGAGATTTCTCTGTGTGTGTGTACACGTGTATTTGTGTATATGTGTGTTCAGTACTGGGATTGAGCTGGGAAGACAAATATTTGGAGGTCCCCATGAAAACAGTCTTATAATAACTTTTTTAAAAAAGATTTATTTATTTATTATGTACATAGTGTTCTGCCTGCGTGTATGCCTGTAGACCAGAAAAGGGAACCAGATCTCATTACGGATGGTTGTGAGCCACCATGTGGCTGCTGGGAATTGAACTCAGGACCTCTGAAAGAACAGTCAGTGTTCTTAACCTCTGAGCCATCTCTCCAGCCCTTATAATAACTTTTATTTTAAAAAGATTCATGTATTTATTATGTATACAGTGTTCTGCCTGAGTGCCAGAAAGTAGCGCGTGATCTCATTATAGATGGTTGTGAGCCACCATGTGGTTGATGAGAATTGAACTCAGGACCTCTAGAAGTGCTCCTAGCCTCCAGCCACTATAATAACTTTTTAAAAATTACTTTAAAGACTTTTTCTGCTTGCACAATAACCACCTATCCAGTATCTTCATGGGTAACTTTGCAGCTAGAGGATTATCTTGGGATATATATTATAGATTGATGTTGGAAAATTTCAAATACCAAGTAAAACCCCCCACAGGACCCCCCCATGGTAGCCCAGGCTAGCAAGCCTGGAACTCACTATGTAGTCCAGGCTGAACTACTTTTTCTTTCCATTCTTCCTATTTTTTAAAAATATGCTCAAAGTTTTTAAATTTTTATTTACTTATTTGGAGACAGGGTCTCCTAGTGGCAAGAAGGACCTGTAGCTGCCTCACTCTCCCTCTCGGAGGCTCGCTCAGGGTTTTGTCTTTGTCTGCTTGTTGTTTTGAGACAGAATCTCATGTAGCCCAGGCTGGCCTATGTGAGGAGCCGCACTCACATTCGCCATTACAAGATGGCGCTGACATCCGCTGCCGGATCAAGTAAACAACGTTGGTGTGCATGTGCCCAGTGTTTTTCCTCTTGCCTCGTCTTGCCTCTCCCGTGGCGTCATATAGGGTGATGAGTCATCCACCTGTCCCAGCTGTACACGCACTGCTCGGAGCTTATGAGCCTTTATAAGGGGACGGGATTCTTGGCTCGGGGTCTCCCTAATCGGAAGCTGATCATCTGTCTCTCAAGATGCATTAAAGCTTTACTGCAGAAGGATCCGAGTGTCCTGTGTCGTTCTTGCTGGCGAGACGATCGCGAGGGACAGGCCTACAGTGCTAATCCTGCTTCAATCTCCCAGGTTCCAGAAAACTCACATTTTTGAGGTTCTGGGGAGGGGGGGCGGCACGTGGAACCCAGGTACCAGTTCAGGCGAAGCAAATGATCCACCTCTGAGTTATGGCAGAGTTGTTTTGTTTGTTTCTCAACTGGTTCTTGCTATGTAGCCTAGGCTAGCTTCAATTCTCTATCTTCCTATCTCAATTTCCTGGTGGAGAAGCTTGGCACAAGAGTCAGTCCTCTAGCCCTTTGTGAGTCTTCCTTGCCACCTTGCTAACGTGCAAAAGGGAACAGACGATTCACATATGATCTGCGTATCCTACAGGCGTACAGGGTGTCATGTCGGGTATGCTCTTGTTACCATACAGCAGTGAAACCTTCCAGGGCTTTTGTCTTTGTCCAACTCTAGGTGTTCGTAAGGACCTTGGGGTGTGCTTTAAGGACTTTCACCACAGCAAAGTGGGTTTGCAGAAGTCCTTTGTGAGGGGGGCTCTGGCATCCAGCGTTTCCAACTTGGACCAGTGTGTGCCATTCCCCAAGACGTAGTTGGGATATGTGCGAGGGAGAAAGAATGCAATACAGAGGAGGCAGCTGCCTGGGCTGGAGTTTGCTTGCACTGACTGTGCATGCAGCCGTCACCACCTGCTGGTGACTACAGAAAGAGTTGGCACACTGACTGCCCCTTTATCACACGAGAGAACTGGAGACCAAATACCCTGATTTTCTTTTGCGTGGTTAGTCACTTCCACATTCTCATCTTGTTGCTCTGACGTTGGGTTAGCAGTGGGTGGGTGTGTAGATTACTTTTTAATCTACATTTACATGGGAAAATTTGGTCCTTCCAAGTGTTGAAGATAATTTGTACCAAAAAGTAAATA